TTGATAAATTTAAGTCCCACATGGGCTAGGAACATTCCCTAAAAACTTCAACCTCCCAGCTTTTCTGGTTTTCGAGTTAGCCATTTTCCCTCCAAAAATTTTCACGGGGCGGTATATGATTACCATTCATACTGAGGGGCTGAATTTGATAATTTTGAGTTACACTTGTGCTGAGAACATTTCCTGAAAATTTCAGCCCTCCAGCTTTCCTGATTCCTAAGTTAGCGATTTTCGTGCGGGGCCATATGCGGAACACGTACACCTGGGGGCTGAATTTGAAGCCTTTTATTTCTATGTGGACGGGGGACATAACCTCAAAATTCCAACTTTCTCGCTTTTCTGGTTCTCGAGTTAGTGATTCTCCCGCCAAAGCTTTCATCCCCTCGTACACAAGGCCCAGACTTGCGTGAAGGTTGGTACCGCGTCCTGGCGTGGCACTTGGCCGAGAAACCACCGGCAAAATTTTAGCGCCGAAACTTGCTTGGATGTCGAGTTGAAATATCCGGACAGACGCACATACGCGCACACACCGGAGTCGTCATAATATGCTTTTTTATGCGTTATAGCGCTGCTGTATCTAGCAAAAACGCATATTGTTGAGAGGCTGTGTGTGTGTGTGTGTGTGTGTGTGTGTGTGTGTTCAGAAGCGAGTGTATTTTGTCACATACTTTCATCTCAGCAAAAAGAAAAGCTGGGAGGCTAAAACTTTGGGTATATGTTCCTACCCCGTGTGTCAGCTTACAGTTTCAAGATATTCCCTACACACGCCTAGACTTCGCGTACGGGCCCTCCAAAAAATTATGTAAATTTCTTTAGCGGAAAACGATTTCGTGAACCAGGCAAGGTAGAAAGCTGAAACTTTGCAAGGGTATTCACTATGCACGTGCGAGCTAAAGATTTTAAACTCAGCTGTCGAGCACACTTGTGAAACGCCTACGATCACGTCAAAGTTGCAACTTGGGTACTGTGCTAACTCAAAAAGTTGCCGAAAAACAGTAGCTGAAATTTTGTCAGCATGTTTTTCGCCAACATAAGAAACCGTATATTTAAAATGAGCACCGAATTGCACTTGCGCTACGACTTACAGCACTTCAAAAATATTTGTAGCGAAGTGGATATTCCTTCTGCCGGATAAGCTGCGAGGCTGAAAATTCGCCGAAATATTCTACTTTTAAGTACGGTCTTAATTCTGTTTTGAGGTAGAATTCCCTGAAGATAGGCGTGAGAAGTACTCACTTTTTCCCGAAAAATCAGAAAT